TGTTTTTTTTAGTCTATATGCAGATTAAATTACTTAGTCCATAGCCCACTTAAGCACTTACTCGAAGCCTTTGGCTTCTGAAGGCCTACCTGAGTGGGTAGTTGGTTATAACATGATGGTGTAGCATGGAAGTAAGGTTGCAGCTTCTTGGAAGCGATCAGCAGGCATATGCTAATCATTCCATCTCTAGATACCAAGTCTCGGCGTCTAGCAGTCGTTTACTCGTGTAATACTGGCCACTGAATTTTACCCTCTCTCGAATGAGAGCTACGCTGACCGCATACTGAGAGACGGACAGGTAGAGAAATAAGATTTCCTTGGGAAGGGGCTTAGACAAAGAGGTGCTTTCCGGAATGTTCTTTTATGCTCTAGAAGGCTTGCTCACACTCAAGAGCCATTCAAATGTCTTGTTGGCCTTGAGTATATTGAGAACACAAACAATGATTGTGCTCTCGAATGAAGCGACTAAGAGCCGTATTCTCCCATTCGCTCTGAACTTGCTTTCGATTGGTATGACTTTGCATATCTGAGAGCTTGGATCTTCTTAGGATTGACTTCAATCCCGATGGTTAACCATATACCTCTAGGAATTTCCCTAGGGTACTCCTAAGGAACACTTAGAGGATTAAGTTTCATCCTATATCTTTGGAGTATGTCGAATATTTCCGCGACGTTAGCTATGTGATTGAAGTGACATGTGACTTGACCAACATGTCATCAACATAGACTTTTTTCGATCTGCTCGAAAAACATACGTAACCGATTGGTAGGTTCTCCCGACGTTTTTCATACCAAGGGCATGACTTCATAGCATTAGTCCTCGATATGTGATAACGAGGTATGCTCCTCATCGGGCTGTCATCTTATTGATTATCCCTTACTATAGGCATCCATGAGCTTAATAGCTCATCCTGAAGTGGCATCGACGACTGATAATTCTAGGTAAAGGGAAACTGTCCTTCAAACAAGCTTTATTGAGATCCATGAAATCAACACAGGTTCATCTTTTGCTATTGGTTTCTTATCACAAAGGATTGGCGACCCAACTCAGGTATGAGCCTCCCAATGAACCCGATTGAGAGAGCTTATCACCTCAACCTTAAGAGCAGTATAACGCTCTGGGTCCATGGCTCTTATTTTCTGAAGAACTGGCTTGACCTTACTGTCGATGTTAAGTGCATGACATATTACATTCAGCTGATCCTAGTTGCTGAGATTGCTTCCGATTCTCAATACACAAATTGGCTCTTCTGGTCGACTGATACCTCAAATGAGTCTCGACAGGCCCATTGTGGGAATACTCCTCTTAAACACGAGGATTATGTTATCTTCACTACGGACTTGGTATGGTTCGATCTTGTTGATCGCCATAGCTTGCTCGAGAACGCCCACTAGCTTCCTTTTCCCTTTGCATGCCATTGCATACTCTTACATAGCAATCGCAAGATTCACGTTGAGACCTTTTGACCTCCCCATAACCCCGTCGAGTGGAAAATTTCATCTTCATGATGAGATGAAGTACAGCTTTGAAGTTCTAGAGTAAAGGTCGTCCCAATATGCATTGACAGCGACATACATCCTACACTAGAAATTCTGTCATCTTGGTCACATCGTGGGTCTCACCCAAAGTGACAGGACGTCAATGTTCCTTATGATCACATGATCCCTGTAAAGTCATAGAGGGAGATAGAGCAGGTTTTAGATGTACCTCTTCCATTGCATTTCCTGAATGCTCGCTGAAATAGGATGTTCATGCACTCCCATTATCCACCAACATTTGTGGACTCTTGCACTGATATTTCAGTCGCAATGACGAGTGCATCCTTATGGGGTGATGCAATCGTACTGCATCTTTCTCTGAAAGATACTCCTCCTCCTTGTATCCTATTAGGTCGTTGCTTCGTGTTTAACACACCACGGGTCATGGTGAACTTCTCGAGTGTACTTCTACTAAGCACCTCGAGAATTCCAGCAAGGTGTGGTCCTCAAATATAATCCCTACGAAATAGAAGACCCTTGCGATCATAGCGTTTCTTCCCATTGCCATCTTATCCTTCTCCCGAATAGAGTTGGACCATCAACATACTCCTGAAGTGCCCTTTTTAATGAGGTCTTTAATTGCCTGCTTAAACTCACCATTATCCTGATGATAACGACAATATTTCTTGTCTTTCTTATTGAAAGGGATTTTTCATGGGCTCTGGCTCTCCAGTAGTTAGCTTTTTGATTTATCTAATAGCTAAAACCGATGCATTCAATGGAGTGTATCGGTTCTTGTCGTGATCACGATGAGGAACTTGGGCATAAGATTTCTTGGGCTCAAACCATTGTTCTTTCCCTCTTTGATCTGTCATTAGCCTTTGTGATCAAGCCTTCTATTACCTCCTCCTGGTTTTCCTCCCTCCGAGTGGGAACGCTGGTCGAAGGACCAGGGTCGCAGCGATTCAAAGTAGCCACTGAATTTTTAATTTTGAGATATTTCTTAGTGAGGTTGTAAAAGCGGGTAAGGGAAATATCATCCTCGGATTGCAATTTCTTCCACAGGTCGTTTGCGGCGAACTCCCACAATAATAAGAGTTTGAACTGTATTTTTGAGTGTATTAGCCACCTTGTTCAGCTGCCCATGGAACCTGTTAAGATTTTTCATCCTTAATTGTATAGGAAATTGTCAATTTTCGTTTGCTGTATCGGTTAGGTCTGTAATCTTTGTTACTGTAACTTGTAATTTTGAACTACGATGCTAACTCCGGAAGTAAATTTAGATTCTTGAGTTCGCACAATTTTTGTATATAAAATGTAATAGACTTTGCCCATATCAATCTTAATTGGTCATTTGCTTGAGATGCTGGTGTGAGGATGAAGCTCAATGCACTGAAGAGGAAGAGAAATCTATTTTTTTTTCTCGTGTTTTTGGCTTACTAAATATCAATGTTTTAAAAACCGGATGGCTCCTTGACCCAATCAAGGGATTGGTTCCTAAGTTGATCGGTCCAATCGGTTGGACTGGTGGGTCTGACCGATGTATATCAGACACATATCTAAACAATTAACATCAATCCTTATAAGTTTGAAAACCAACCAACACACCTCTAAAATTTACCCATAAGTCCTTATAAGTTTGAAATAAAGCAAACGCACCTTACAGCTTTTATTATTAATTTTTTTTTCTCTCTCTCCGTCACTTTCTTCTTTATTCTTTTTTTTCTTTGCCAATCACTTTCTTTTTTCTTCTATCACTTTTCCCTCCCTCTATTGTAACTTTTTTCTCTCCTCTTCTCTTTCTCTTCGTCTCCTCTTTTTTTTCTTCTTCCTTCCCCTCCCCCTTACTTCACTTGACGGCCAAGAAGGCCTTGGTTGCCGCAATCTATCCAAACGAGGTCTAAATCGAACTAGCCACTTCTTCCTTCCCCTCCCCTCACTTCTTCTTCTTTACACTGTAGATTTTAGAGTAAGTGAAGAAGAATAGAAGATGAAAATAGAAGATGCAATTTGGTCTTTAGAGATGAAAATGGTATTGAAATGAGAAGGAGAATGAAATGAAATGGAGAATGCTTGCTGGCTCGACTGGTATTAAAATGAAATGGTGCTGCAAATCTGGTTTAGGAGTTAGGAATATGATTTTTTTAGGGATCAGATGAACCTCAAAATAATGAACCATTTTAAGCCCCAATCTGATCAGATCGGCGATTTTGTACTGTTCTACCAGTCTGGTTGGATCGACGGTTTTGTACTGTTCCACTGGTCCATTACCGGTTCAAAGTGGGTTTTATGTTCCGATTTTTATGTTAACCTAGATTGGAGTCAAGGCCGGTTCCCGGTCGAATCGATTGGACCGACCAGTTCGGTCTGGGTTTTAAAACAATGCTAAATATAAGGAATTATTATTTCAAGTATAAAATCTTAGTCCTTTACTTTCAGATACTAGATTAGCATTTTTTTTTTTTTAAAAGGTAAATTGACTATTGAATTTTTACTGAAATGACAAACATATCAAAATGATGGAAAATTCATTACAAAAATAGCACTAAATTAAATGAACTTGTTATATACTAAAAAATTGAAATTAGGATATTCAATAAAAAGAGTAAAAAAATTTCATAATCTCATACCAAAAAATGGAAATATATATATTTCTAACACGATTAAACTTATAGTTTCGATTACACTAATACATTTTATATAAATTTACATTGAGATAGAATAGAAATGAAATGATATATAATTTGGCAACAAAATAAAACTCGCCATATTTGAATGACCATGCATATACAATAAATTTAGAATATCATGACTTTTTTCAATTCTGTGCTTTCTATATTCTATCTATTTACAGTTTTCAATTCTTTGCATTCCATATTCTAGAAGCTTCCATCAATTAAAATATTAAGTTTATATTAAAGTAAAATGAGAATAAGGTAAAAATTATATATTTATAAAATTTAAGTTATATCTATTATCTTGTTCTTATTTGTTAGTGCAATCTCTTTCCTAATTAATTTGTTTCAAAATCTCTCTCATAATTTGTTTACACAATTAAACAAAGGATTAGGACTAGAGAACCTCATGGCCCTCTAAAACAATTCACTTAGTATATTCTTTAAAGCTTTATTTATTTATTAATAAACTTAAGTAATCAAATTGTCTAAAAAAAAATCGTTAAGAAAATTAAATTAATAAAATAATTCATGTATATTATTTTATGATCTATTATGTTTTGGACTATCATTCAAACATGCGTTACATATAAATTAATTTGGCAATATGGGAAAGAGATTTTGCAAAAAATTAATTAGGAGTTAGGAGAGAGGATTTTTACAATAAATGATGTAATTTCCACGTCATTCTCATCTTTCTTGTAAACCAAACAAAGCCATTAATTATGGGGTGGAAAGTCCAAGTCGACAGTAGTGGTGATGTATTACCAAACGTCAAGTGGGACAATAGAAAATGGATATAAATATGTAATTTCCATCACATTCTCATCTTAACCATTCATTTGGGTAGCATTATTGGCAAAGTCATCATGTCAATTTAGTCTTTAAATATCTCTTCCATTATTGTTTCAGTTAAAATGGTAGAGTTTGATGGTCATCCTCATCCCTTCTACAGCTGCAGAAATTGCCTTAATCCTCTTGCCCTTCACGATGATCTCATCTCCAAAAGTTATCTGGTGGTTATAAACAAAATTTCAAATTTTTTAATATTTTGTTTAGCCTGAAATTATATTTAATGGTTAACATACAGGTGAAATCAGGGAAGGGTTATATGTTTGCTCAAGCCATGAACGTGGTTTTGGGGAGAAGAGAAGACAAGAAGATGTTGACAGGCGTTTACACAATTGCTAATATTTATTGTAGGAAATGTGGTGAGGAATTGGGTTGGCAATATTTACAAGCTCATGATTTTAAACAGAAATTCAAAGAAGGGAGCTTCATAATCGAGAAATTGAAGATGATTAAGGTGTACTAGAAGACTCTTTTCATATTTAATCCTTTGATTGCTCTATGCTTCTTCAAGGCTTTCTTCTTATATTTATATGCTCAATTTTCTTCTTCAATTGACTAGAATGAACACCAACAATTGCAAAAAACACAATGGATATAATTTAAAGTTTGTAATCACTTATTTCTTATGGTTAGTTTGGGATTTCTGTAGCTTAAAGTTTAATCAGCTTTTACCCAACTTTAAAAATAATCAGTTTTGAAAATAATTTAAAGTGTGTTTGGTAAACTTAATTTTCAAAGTTGCTATGAACTTCAAAAGTTGTAAGTATGTGTTTTGTAAACTAGAATTTAAATTTTTTATTAAATATGTGATGACAAAAAATGACTATTTTAAAAATATTTTACTAATTATTAAATATAATTTAAAATATATAGCATATCTTATCATAAAACTTGGAAAATGTTATTTATAACAAGATTATTAAAATTTGAGATTATGATATAAGTAATTTTTTGAGAAGAATTGAAATAATCTTATTCATAGAATTACAACAATGAAAACTTAAAAAATGATCAAGCTATAAACAAGTTTAGAATTACTGATAATAAGGGTGAAGATGTTCAATATTCTAAGCTCACGGTACTTTAAAACCATTAAGCCTTTTGAGGTTATACGTTCCAGGTTGTATCATCTTAACGACACGATATGAGTCTTCCTAATTAGGTCTCAATACCTTCGCACTTGGTTCTTTTATACTGAGAAAGACTTCTTTTAATACTAATTTGTCAATTTGGAATCTCTTCTCTTGATTTTAAAAGTATTTTACTAATTATTAAAGATATAATTTAAAATATATTAAATAAATTAAGTATGTAATAGGCATTTTATACATCGAAAATCAGTTTAAGAAAAAAATGTAATTTTCAAAAGTTACAAAAGGTAGCTTGAAAGTTAAGTGATTATTTTATAATCTACAACAATCCCAAACGCACACTGAAAGCGATCACCCAGAAAGTTTAGAAATGATTATCAAATAATCTACTTTTTTTTTAGCTTTTAAAATTTAAAATCACTTTTAAAAGAATCAATTACTAAAAATACACCAACATTAAATATAAATTCTAATTCATTTTACAAATAAATTTTAACATTAGATTAATGGAACAATTAAAAAAAAACAAACAAAAAAAAGTTAGCCGGGGAAGTCAACAAAGAGCTTCTGGCAATGGTGGTTAGTTGTTGCTGTTAGCAAATCCTGTAGATCACTAGGCGACGATCCCAATGATGTCGACCGTGCCATGTCACTCGTATCTTAAAATCAAAAGTAATTTTGAAATTAAACAAAACAAACATCTCATGGTTTATTTATAAAGTTTATTATTTTTAAAGTTGATCCATAAATGATTATGCAAAGAGCTATAACCTTAGTTGACTTTCTTCTTATCTACGACAAATAATGAGCTGGAAAATGCTAGTACTCAACATAGTGGTGATTTTACGGAGGTGCACTACCAAACCAAAAGAAAATGACCTTGACAAAGACTTTATATTATAATAATTGATGAAATTAAATACATAAACTTCATATATCATCTTAGAAAAACTGTTTTATATCAATGAGGAAATGGAAGCGATATACACTCTCTACATATTTGACCCATTAACCTTGATAAGATATATCAGACATGGACACTAGTGAAATTTCAATGAACTTTTATGTCTATTACATATTTGGTGAAACATAATCACTAGTTCTCGCAGATTTTAATCAACTAATACCTTCAAATTTAACAAAAACTCATCACTAATTTCCCTTTAAGCAAAATTTGTCTAATAATTTTACATTTTTTTAATCTTTTATTTGGTAATTATGTTGATTAATATTTTTTAATGTCTGGTTTTATGTTTAGGATTTAAAATAAAAAGACGATATTAACCTTAATTGGTAAACTGAAGTTGGGCAGAGTTAGTTTGAAATGATGTTAGTGATGATTCTTTTTTTTTTTTTTTTTTTTTTAATTTATAAATATTGTTTGATTAAATCTGTGAAAATTAACATTTATCCGTTTATTAATGAAATTATACGGGTGGTTAGTGATAATCTGCCATTTGGTGGAAATCTTACGCCATGGTGTGAGAGACTCCAATTTCTTCGTCATTTGTAAGCTTAGAGATTGATGAAAGGTGTGAACAAATATTTATAAAATATTTTTTTTTTTTTTTTTTTTGGGGTATGCATTAAAAGAAAGGAATATTGAAGATTTTGATTATAATTAATACAATATTAAAAATTGGTAAGTTTTGTTTTGTTGTTTTGTTTTGTTTTTGTTTTTGTGTTTTTGTTTTTTGGTTTTTGTTTTGTTTGTTTTTTTAATGTTTATAAGTAATTTTTGTAAGGGGGTTAGTCGACGAGGCTCGTGGCTTGGTCGGTAAAAGCCGAGCTTGAGCGGGTCGACCATAGTGTCTAGCCAAGTTCAAACATGTTAGTACTCGGCTTAACAAGCTCACAAGCTTCAGTGAGTTGAGGGTATATGTGATAGTTTTAAAACTAATAGGGGGTGATAGTAATTTTGTAGTTTTAAATTGACAAACCCACCCATATTGGAATATATAAAAACGAAGGGGATTTATAAATTAGAAAAAAAAACCTAAAACTAAAACCTCTCTATGATTTTGCCAATCTACCCATGTCGCTGACGTCGCTATGCCTCGTCGACGTTGTTGTCCTGTTTGTTGTCTCGTAGTCTGCTTCGTCTCTTTTAGGTATTATGAAATGACCACCTTCTCAAAACCCTTTAGCTACAAGTTCATCGCCACTTTGCAAAACACATCACCTTTCTTCCTTTAGTCAAGGCTAGGCAGTAGCACGTAAAGAGGTGTGGGTTCAATTGAACCAACTCAACTTTTTAAGAAATTGAAAAAAAATCCTAATGTTTTATGGATCCCACTTAACTTAGGTTGACCCACGTAAATAAATTATTAATTAGCACTTTTTTAACTTTTCTCTCTTCTTCATTACTCTCATATTATCTTTTTCTTTAGTTGGACACTAAAAAAAAAAAAAAAAACTTCTTTGGATTGCAAGGTAAGATGGTGCTCATTTTATTTATTTTATTTTTTACTTAAATTTTTTTTTCTTTTAGCTTCTTAATTGATAAAAGATCATAACTATGAATTTTTGTTAAGTATAATAAATGAGTTGAATTGGAAGATTAAATTCCTAGATTTTGCTGTGGGTTTTAATTAATTTTGTTATGTTGAGGTGTGGGTTAATTGGTTGTTGTTTTAAGTTGGGTTTGATAAATTTTGGTTAGTATTGAGTTAATTTTGAATGGTTTACTGATGAATTGATGAAACCTAAGTTGTAGAGATTTGGGTTAATTACATTGATATTTAGAACTGATGAAAACCTAGGATTGTAATGAAGCAATTATGTAACGTTTTCAGAATATGAAAAATCATTGCAGACAATTGTAAAATTGATAATTTGGCATGTAAAACTTTTAAAATACATTTTTTATGCTATTACTTCAGTATATATTTTATGTAAATTTATCAATTTGATGTTTTGATCCTACTGAAAGATAGAATACATGGAGAATGATGCATGTGATACTATAACATGTTATTCATATTTGCCAAGAAAAAAAAAAAAAAAAAATCAATCAAATTGAAAACAAGTAAGATATAACTTATTACCTCAAGTCCTTAGTAACCTTGGGGACTTTTAATTTCAAGAGAAATTAAACAAAAGAGTATCACACTAAGGTAAAAGAAGAATTAGGTCAAGAGAGACATTTAGGGTTCTTAGAAATTTTGATCTCTACCCTAAAATTGATATATCATTTTCTTTATATATGTAGCCTTGTAAACAATTCAATAATTGTTTTGGACTTCCTTAAACAATTCCATAATTTTTTTTTGGAGTTGTAAATAATTCCATAATTATTTTGAAGTTGTTAAACTTCTTTAAATAATAACATTGGATTAACATTTAATCACAATTAACAATTTAACTCTTAAACTGTTTACATAAAAATTTAACCCTTAAATTGTTCATATGTTTACAATTACAACCCATTATTAAATCCAATTTAATATAAAGAAAATGATTAATTATGAATTGGAATTCCAATTAGCAATTTAACTCTTAAATTATTCATAATAACTAATATAACCCTCCATTGAATCTAATTCAATGATAATAATATAAATAACTTTATTACCTTTAGTAGGTGCTAGCCAACCTTGGATAATCAACTCTCTTTGGCTATTTCTCCATTCTCCTTAGTTTTTATGTGTGACCTCTTAGGTTCACTATGGCCTAGCCGTGGGCCCAATATCATAGTCTATTTCGATATGTTTTGTCATAAATCTTTAGGAACAAATCTCCCACTGATTATGATAGACATCTAGCAATGCTCCATAACCAATCATACGCGCTGTATAATAAAATCCTTCAGTTGTCTAATCCCAATTAAGAATGGATTCATGATATGTCAAAATCCTTAGCTTAATTTTATATCAAATTGACAATCAATACATATGGAATGTGTCACCAGGAAACAACCTTTCAAGTAATATTTTATATACCCCGGTCGGAGATTTCCCTTTTCCAATGTATCTTGACATTTGTCTAGGAACTTGAGATCAATCTATATTAAGTTAACGGATCTCATCTTGACTATCACTTGTCCTCACACATAAACAACATATGGCTAAATCGGCTTATTAACATATGACATGATTAGCCTCGTGTTTATACACCATATGCATTTATGTAGAATCTAACCGTGATATCTCAAGTCTAAGGATTAATAATACACTAGTACGATCTTATGATAAATCATTGACTACATTTTAAATGTCCATGTGATTCATCATAAATGGCCATATTTAATAAACAGTTCACTAATCGCTTATCAATGCTAATGCCCTAGTGATATAACTTTTATAATCACCCACACTGATGTCATCACATGATATTCTACAGAGGCATTCAGCATGTCTACTATGTAATATTATTGCCCAATTAATATTACCTATGTAGGTTTAAATACTTTAATGATTTTGATATTCTAAAGATTTGTATCATCCATATATTTCACATGTAATACATATATATAAATGAAGCAAAAAATCACATGTGAAATAAGAACACTTTCTTCTATTGATA